GCATTGCCATGTATCAAAAAAAAAGCATCAATATCTAATAACAATTTATTCTTAATGCCAAAGAATTTGGGCCGAAAGTATGTCAAAGTTGGATTCACTCAAACCTACTTCCAACTCAAAAATTTAAGCCTAATCAGGGAGGATCAACCATTAATATTTATACGGCACCATATTTTTCTAGTATTCAATATGAGACTAAAATTAAACAAACAAATGTCTTAACAAATCTCAATCCCACCCACCCCCATCGAATACCCACATAAACACACAAGTTCTTTCCATTAATCATCACTCACCTATAAACAAATGTTTTTTAAATCATAAAGTATCATACACTAGACCACTAGGGTCGGCGTAATAGACACCCCTTCTTTAATCATGCTCGACTATAATAGGCGCTACACATTACATGAAACATCTAGTTGAACCATAGGTTTGATATAAATAGAATAAAATCACAATGAATTAATATAAAATAAATTTTTACGTGCTAGAAAATTCAAAATGATAGAGAGAATTTTATGTGCTAGTCTTGTACAAAGATTTCACATATGGATTGGTAAGATAATATTGTAATAGAGTCGCCCGAGATTTTAGTTGAAAACTCGAAAAGGGAAAAACTATAGAGCCTGGCTTAAATCAAACGATCCATTATGTAAATTTGAATTACAAAGGCCTGCACTTCTTCTAAATTGGAGAAAAAGAAATTAAAAGTTTAGATCAAAAATCTAATCTTCTATGGTTGTAACTAACGAAGAAATAGTGAACAACGATGAATCAGTCACACAATGTCAATAGAGCATTGGCAATAGGGAAATGATGGTCAAAATACAACAACCAGATGATGCTAATCAGACAATAGGAAGTGGATAAAAGAGGTCGAGCAAGCAACGATCGTCATCACCCTTCATTACTTTTTCAAGAGCTACAACCATAGGAGATCGGACTAGTGATCTAAATTTTATAATCTCGATTTCTCCAATTTAGGAGAAGAGAGAACTATATTGTAATTCCCAATTACATGGTGAATATTTTCATCTGGAACAAACCCTATAATTTTTTCTCTTTCTTTATTTTCCAAGAAAAAATTCTTGTGTCTCTATTACAATATTAGTTTGCTAGAGTATGTGAAATTTACATACAAGTTTAAAATGTGAAACTCTCTCTCTCTCTATCTATCGCCATAATTTTTTAAGCAAGAAATGGTTTGTCAATGTCTATGGAAAACAGTTCCTATAATCTGCAAGCACTCATCCAAATGCTGACAGCAATAACATCCACAACAATGATCTCACTTCAACACTCACCAATTTGGGAATTAGCCCTATAACAAAGGACATTGTAACCAGTCAAAAGTAGGCACCAAAGGCTGATACATGGAAGATTGGATGTGTATGTTGGAGCATCAAGCCAGAATCTTTTGACTTTTACAAGATACTTGCTAACATAAAGTAGCATCACAGCATGGCAGAGCTCGCCAAACACAAAATCAATAGTAGAATAATGTGTATAATGGACAAATTGAAGATTCCCGCATAGGGTCCCCTCTTCATCATGCTAAAGTTTCTCCTACACCACAACCTAATCCAAAACATCTCTAGACAATTTGCTCAAATAATCCTTCTCATGCTACTCAGCCAACTCACATTCCTCCAGTATCCATTATCAGCTTTACATGACCTCACCTCATGAACACCCTTCATGATATCATACGAGATGAGTTGAAACATCTCGTTCAAGCCCAATTACCTTTGAGAGATAGAAACCAACTTACTCCCTAATGCATCTTCCAGGAGTCCTCACCCCTAATTGATTCCAATGAGATGCAATGTGTATACTATAGATCTTTATCATGGTTACTCTAAAACTTATGGACATATCGATCACTACAAAACCATCATGCATATCAAATAAGCTTATGATGCACTCCTTTTCAAAGTCTTCCACAACACTCTTAAGGACAAGCTTGTAAATATTTTATTGATAAGTTTGCCTACCATGTCATACTCTTTGTTAGACAATTCACTACCAACTGAAGAATTATCAAAGATACATCCCATCTCTATAGAATTCACCAAAAAGAGGGAGAACCTCTTAAGGAATATTTTCAAAGATTCTCCTAAGAGGTGTGACAAATCTAAAGAATAGATCCTAAGTTATTACGAGATATTTTTCTTGGATATCTTCTCCATAGACCTTTCTACTCTTCATTCATAAGGGAGACAATAACCTTTTATGTCAATTTTAATCATAGGGTGGAAGCACGGTTTACGACCAATAAGACTATCAACACACATGGACCATATGGCAAACATAAGATTGGACAAAAAGGTGCTGCACTGCTGCCAAAAATCACAATGAGGAAAGAATAAAAAATAGAGAAATAAGGGTCTTCCTCATCCTTCTGAGCAACTAACACCAATAACAATACTAACATAAAGAATTTAATTCTACTAGTTGAAATTAATGTAAAATAGACTTACACAATTGCATCCAAGTCCCTCAAGGTACAAGAAATCCAAGGGATAACTTCACTCAACAGAAGATAACAAAAAGAAAGAAAAAAATCTTAAAACAAATCAGGCCCCTCGTTTTTTAACCCTAAAAATAAGACAGTTTCTCAATTTATTTCCTCTCACAAATAGATAAAAGTTGTCACTTTACCGTTTAGAAGTGAATAACACCCACATTAATGTTAATTGAGCAAACCAATGGCTAGAATTGTTTCAGTACAGTTACCAAAGTATAAAATACAGATAATTATTCGAAGAAAATAGAATTTAAGATGAACAAAATAGGTTAAATACATATAACAATGATTTTTTTTTTTTTTTGAATCAAAAATTGATGGTTGTATGTAGCTAAAAGATAAGGTCTAAGGTAAATCAATCGATGTTTGCAAAAGCAGAAGGAATGATTTGTCTTTCCTACCAGCAACTTGATGCAGATAATTCTTGATTCGATGGAGGATAACCACTTTCAATTGATTCTTGTAAACTTTGGTTTTTTTATTTCCCTCCTGAAATCATCTTCTAGCCGAACTTGGTCATTCCCGACCAAATATTGTGGGTTGAAAACCTACCTGACCAACAATGCTTCAGATCAAATGATTCATGATGGAAAAATGATTGCTACTCAGCAAGACAAAAGGGGTGACATGGAGATGGAACGGAGTAACGGAAATGACTGGAGGAACACAAAGGTGGTCTCTGTTTTCTATTGGCTGGATTGCACTTGGGCACAAAGGAAAGGAGGTTTTGACCACACTATGGTTTCCTTCCTCCCCTCCTCTCTTTGATATAGGGAAATCAACCCCAAAGTATAGGGAACTCCTTCCCAAATTAAGGAAACCTGAAATAAACTCCGCTAAAAACTCCCCCACCTAACATAAGGCTGATGTATTTATTAAAAAAATAAATGTACTAAACCACCCCTAATAAAAAAAGGCTAAAAAAGATATTTAGAAAAGCATAAAAATTAATACTCCTAATCATGCAACAACAATGAGAATATAGACTATAAAATGGATATAAGCCACTAAATACATCTCATGTCAATGCTCTAATAGCCATCCGAGATGAGTACATGGTTAAGTAGCCTAATCCTCTGAAATCAAATACTAGAGTCATGGACATACCATTGAATTCTACAAAAAAAAAAAAAATTAAAAAAAATGAAATTAAGAGATTGATGTAGCAAGGTATCTTCATCATTTCATTTAGAATAAACCAATTCCAGCCAGAACAATCCTACAAGGGCAAGCATCAACAAAGTCAACAACAAGGCAACAATCAAATGGTTAGAGACATTGAGACCATCGTTGAAGGACCATTACTATCATCCCAAGTTTTGCTTATCAAACTAGAAAAACCAACATTAAATAAATATTGATTTGGTCATTCTATTACATTTGAAGCTTTTGAGTTGGAGGAGATCCAAATTTCGTACCAAGTCTCACTTATCATCAATGCTATGATTGAAAATCGTTGTCACAATATTAAGAAAATCATGATTGATAATTGAAGCATAATTGATGTCTTCTTCTACTCCATATTCTAAAACATAGGTGAGGACAATGAGAAGCTCCAACGATGACCGTTATAGATTTGCTAATCAACTAGTGCGTATATTTCTTAAGTTAGACTAGGGATAGAATGAAAATTATTTTTGGGAAAGATTATCGTAATATTATAGCCTATGTCCAAGAAAGAAAGGATGAAAATGTGAAAAAAATAGGGAAAAGATAGGCTTGAAGCACCAATAATCAAAATCATTTTCAATGTAAAAGCTTAAGCCTATGAATGAGAGCCAATCTCTCATACTTCTACACTAGTATATTTTTAAACAATATAATGTGAGCCTACACTCAATACTCACACATGCCTTATCAGCACAAATAAAGCTAAGTAAATAAAAAAATGTCAAAGTATTAATTAAAAAAAGGATAAGTAAAAAAAGATTTGTGTAAAATAGATTTAACACCTCATACAGTGATCAAAAAGGACAAATGAAGAATGAGGGCTAATAAAGCTAGCCAAAAATATTTAAGACAAGAAGAATGATGATGATGATGATGACGTTGAAATATTGATATGAAGAGAGAGAGAGAGAGAGAGAGAGAGAATGAGTGCGATATCAAATTTTAATAAAACCATTAAGATATAATGTTTTTTTAAAAACGTTTATCTATTATTTCATTGTAGCAAAACTTCTCTCCCATTTCGATTTCTTATAATAGAACTTCAATAATTATTAGCAATCAAGCTGAGGTCAACAAAGACATGAACAAAATACATGGTAACTGCTGCTTATTTAATTGGATAAACAACAATGATTATGATGGCCATTAACTGACAAGGGGGCAACAACAATATTTTTTAAATGTTCAAACTTCGTACTAGAATGATTATTCAATTAAAATGCTATATATAAGAGCAGAAAACAAAAATTTAAGAGAATATAGAATTAGAAAACAGTCCTAAATGAGTTTCACCACATACCTCATCAGGAACCCTAAGGTACTTGATTGTGTTCCCACGTATGTAACACTCAGGCATCCTCCAAAACCTGTCTCCATCCTGCAACCCATCAAAACCAAATAAAAATTATCAAACTTAGATGCTGGAGCTTCTCATGATTTAAAAAAAAAAAAGTGATCACCTTTGAGGTGCAAATGACCTCTCTGAGGTGAATGTTCATCCAAGTATCACAATTCACCAGATGCCCATTATAAGTTTCCCCATTCTTCAACTCCACTAACTGTACCACAATGAAATCAGTAACGCAAACAAAAACAACAACAAAAAACGAAACTAATAGTGGAAATAAATTATAATAGAAAAACCTAATGTTCTCACCATAGGATGCCCCAGCGCCGTCTTCAAAAGAGAGAGAGGAAGCTGTGAAGTTGCACAATAGAGGTCACGCGGATTCGAGATAGATTATGATTAAATTCGATCAAATTTAAAGGAAAAAAATAATAAAAAATACAAATACTTAGACCTAAACTCAATACACTAAACTAATTAAAATTCATAAGGGTAAGCGGGAAACCATCTTGTCCGATTAAGGAGTTGGACTCTGCCAGTGGAATAATCCTTCAAAAAACACAGCTTTTTGAAGGGATCAAAAAGCCTATAAGACCCTTCAAGTTCCAACGAAGAAATCCTGACAATCACGAAGTTTGACTAACTTAGATCCCTGGATAATAATAAGAAGCGAAACAACAAGAAACCCTCGCGCGGAAAGGTCCTGGTTTAATCTCCGTTTTCAACTTGGACTCGCCAAGGATGGCGGAAATCAAGCGGGCTTGAGGTGGCGATTTATTGGGCGGTTTGGCAGCAAATAGGATTTAATAAATTTTGTAAATTCCAATTTAATAAATTTTGTAATAGTAAAATTTTAAAATTATTTGACATAACTGATTTTAAAACTTACTAAATTTTGATAAACTAATTAGCTCTTTATTTAAGAGTTTAAGACAATTAGATCATTGAAAATATTAATTATTAATTATATGACTAATTATTTAATTATACTTTTATAACAAAATATTTAGATATTTAATTACAAGCTACAGAATATTTAACTAATTACTTTAATAACAAAGAATTTTATTATTACTTATACTATTATGTATCTAATTAATTATTTAGGTGTTACTTTAATAACTAATTATTTAATTAATCACTATATTATTATTTGTCTAATTAAGTAATGTTTATTTAAATATTTATTTAAGTACTAACTATATTGAAATAAAAGTAAAATGGATGATTAGAATCCCATGACAACCTCCTCTCCTATCCCGTAGCCCATTCCACACTGCAAAGACCGTAGTCCAACCTCAAGTGAAGCACCCATTCCGCACTACAAAAATCATCTTAAACTCTAATTTTCACTATCGAACTCTCTCTCTCTCTCTCTCTCTCTCTCTCTCTCTCTCTCTCTCTCTCTCTCTCTCTCTCTCTCTCTCTCTCTCTCATGCCGAATCAAACCCACTCCCAATCTCTCCCTAATCCAAATATGACTCCCAAAATTTGTGTGATCTCTTTACATGACGCTTCTTGATCGATGTTGTCAGCCATCAACCCTATAGAACTCAATTTGTCAACTACTTATAAACATGTGAGGTCTAATAATTCTTCATGCATCTTGGTGTTAAATGCAATATTTCAATATATAGGAAAAATGTTACTCCTATCTTATATGGTTCAATGCCTAAAAATATCTTCAATTCAATGGTTATTAATATAAGGGTCATATGTTTGAATTTTTCTTTAATTCATTCAAAAATTGGCATCTTTTTTAGAGAAAATAAGAGTTAAAATGTTACATCTAAAAAGAACTTTTTATTCAATGTGAATAAATAAAATAAAGATGTGTGGAATATTTATTGCACTTTAAAGTTATGAAGACAGCAAAATCAAATATCTTTGAGATCAAGATCCAATAATTATAATACAATTACATTTTGTATGTTAAATCATAACACCACTGACAATTACATCGTATAATCAATGAGGGGCTTGTTAGATCTAATCATAATTTAAAGCCAAAGATTAACATATCATATGTAATGAGGGAACATGATATTTATTTGCCTTATGGGAAAGCATTGTGATTGGTGCGGGCTAAAATATATGTGGTGATAGAGTTATAATATTACGTCTTAGCGGTGTACAGATATCCAGCTCACATACAAAGAATATAAGATTTTTTTACGTGGAAAGTCCTAGAAAGGGGAAAAACCATAGGGCATTTTCCAGTTGAAATGATTCCACTAGTATTGGGTAGATTATAGTGGGCTGACTCATACCTGAGAGTAATTAGATTATAAATGTCAACCGTATGGTTAAAATCTAATGACAAATGGGGATGAAAGTCCAGTGCATGTCACTTGGTGGACTAGCAGAAGTTTGGCGTTACTTGAAAAATCATGCCTCAATTGGTAGTCTAGCGGTGGTTTGGTAGAACTTCAACATTGGGTGTGGTCTGACGGAACTCCGGCATCCGATGGTGGTCCGGCAGAACTCTAGGAATCATGTGGTGGTTCGACAAAACTCTTGGTGTCAGGTGGTGGTCCGGCAGAAGTCCAAGCCTCAGGTGGTGGTCCAACAAAAGTCTAGGCCTCAGGTGGTGGTCCGACAGAACTCTGGGCCTCAGGTGGTGGACCGGTGGAACAACGGCATTAGGTGGTGGTCTAGTGGAACTTCGAGCGTCAGGTGGTGGTGTGCCCACGACTTCGGTGAAAATGATAGTATTGATCCTGATTTATTGTATTCAGCTTTAAAGGATTAGGTCACTTAATATTTGTGTGATCTTGAATGGCTGTTAACACATTTGTTTAAGGGGCATTGAGTGGTGTATACTCATATTCTTGCTGAAACTCGTGTTATGGTATTGAGGGTCTAAAAGGCAGGTTTTTCTTTCATTGCGAGAATGAGTCCTCCATTATAAGGGCATTTTTATGCTTTCCAAGAGTTCACTCAAATTGCTTCATGTGGGAATTGATAGCGTCATCTATTGATATTTGTGCCTCAACATAATAGATCATGTCACCATATGAGTGAATCGTGTCTCATATAAGTGTCGAGTAAAGAGACCAAGACGAAGGCCTCCAAGAAAAACTCCTCTTAATAATTTAGGATCTACTCCTGCAATTTGTCGAGCTTCTGTGAAAAATCACTGAAAATACTCCTTCAGTGATTCTCCTCATTCTAATAAATCCAAGAAATATGAGAAGAATCTTTAGCAATTCTTTGATTAATGACAAATTATTCAACAAATACTTTGGCAATTTTATTAAAGGTCAGGATTGTTCAAGCTGGAAGAGAATAGAACCACATTTGTGCTTGTCCCTTGAGGATAACAGAAAAAACTTGGCATATGAGCACATCTAAGGCTCGTTGGATATGCATGATGGTCCTATAGTGATCGATATGCCTGTACGGATCAGATATCCCGTCGTAGGAGTCGATACTCGATAGTTTGAATCCTATTGGAATGGGGTATTGAGGATGACTTTGGTCAAGGGTAATGACTCCTGAAAGTCCCACTGATGCTGAGGTTGTCTTATACCTTCCACGGGGAACTCTTTTTGGACCAATCTTCATAATTCATGATATAGGGCATTACGAGGGAGTTCAGCAATGTGTTGTTGGGCTAAGCCCTTGAGGATGTCTAAAGGAATATGAAATTGGCATCCTGCTCTCGAAGGATGGGTAGAGCTTATTGTGTCAGCAAGCTCATTATCTTGATGTGTTAGAGGATGCATCCTTGGCAGAGGAAGGAGAATCTCAACATGAAGATGTTTTAGTTGAACATCATTAAGTCGTTGTGGATCTCGAGGAAGAAGAATCTCTTCTTATGGTGCTAGTGTCAATCACCAAGTCTCTTGCAGGAGTTAAAGGATATCATTCTGAGATTCCTTTATCTATCTAATATGGTCTTTCAGGGAAGGTCCTAAAGTTCCCTCTCCTACAGTATCTTTCCCCCTAGGATAAAAAGAGGTGGATATTTGGTCTCCATGATCCATAGACTAATTCCTAGATTAGTGTGAGTTGTAGCAGGAGGCTCCCAAGATACGATTGTTATGCTTGTTGGCCATCAAAGTGGTGCTTAGGATAGTGGGATTGAGTTTCCCCAAGATGGATCTAAACTGTTATGGGCTAGAATATACATAGAGATCGAGTTATAATATTACGTTTTAGCATTGTATGGAGATCCAGCTTACGTATAGAGAATATAAGAGTTTTTAATGAGGAAAGCCATAGAAAGGGGAAAATTATGGGGTCTTGCCTAGTTGAAATGGTTTTACTAGTATTAGGGTATATTATAGTGGGCTAAATCATCCCTGAGGGAGATCAGATTGCAAATGTCAACCATATGGTTGAAATATAGTGAAAAATGGGGATGAAAGTCCAGCATCACTTGGTGGACTGGCAAAAGTCCAATGTTACTTGAAAATTTATGCGTCTATTAGTAGCCTGGTTGTGGTTTGATAGTACTTCAGTGTCGGGCGATGGTTTGATAGAACTTTAGTGTCAGGTGGTTGTCCGACAGAACTCTGAGTGTTAAGTGGTGGTTTGGTATAACTTCGAGTGTCAACCGGTGGTCTGATAAAACTTCAGGTGTCAAGCGGTGGTCTGATAGAAGTCCATACTTATGGTCGTGGTCTGATAGAAGTCTAGCGTCATATGGTGGTCCGGCAAAACTTCAGGCCTCAAATGGTGAATTAGCAGAACAACAACATCAGGTAGTGATCTGGTGAAACTCTAGGTGTCAGGTGGTGGTCGGGGGGAACAACGATGCTAGGTGGTGGTCTAGTAGAACTCTAGGCATCAAATGGTGGTCTGACAGAACTCCGGGCCTCAAGTAGTGGTCTGACAGAACTCTGAGCCCCAAGTAGTGGTCCTGTAGAACTCTTGGCATTAAGTGGTGGTCCAATAGAAGTCCAGGCCCTAGGTGGTGGTCCGGTAGAGTCCGGACCTCGGGTGGTGGTCCGACAGAACTCCGGGTGTCAGGTGGTGGTCCAACAAATATTTGGGCCTGAAGTGGTGGAAGGGCAGAACAATGGCATATGTGGTGGTCTAGCGGAACTCCGGGCGGTGGTCGAGGAGGAGCAAGGAGATAAGAGTGTTCTCCAATCTCTCTCTTATTTCCTTTGGCTTGGGATCCCTTTTCAAGAGGAAGGAGGGGTCTGTTATAGATTTCCTAGAGTGGCGTGGCCCATAAAAAGGACGAAGATTAAGGGTAAATAGGGGTGGCTTGGATGGATAGACGATGTTGAATACCTTGATCGTGGACCATTCATTCGACATTAGAAGGTCTTAATGATGTTGGAATTCTGTTATATTAGAATCATTGGATTTTTCTCGTCAAGCCGCTCTAATCTACTATAAGCATGCCACATTTGGAAATTTCTTAGTAATCCAAAATGTGGTTTAAACCTTCCAATAGTGCTTCAGGTCCTTAATTTTGACCAATTTGGGCTCAGATTGATTCGAATTTGGTGTCATTGGATTCTTATTTCCAAGACATTCAGTTTGACTATAAGTTTTCTTAAATTGGAGTTTGGATTATCCCAATTTTAATTTTGAAAATTTCCAACTTGATTTTGCTTCAAGATTCATGCCTGATCAAGATAATTTTTTAATGATGTATCATGTTATTGTTAGGAAATAATTACTTATGTGAGAGGATCCCTAAAGCATATTTTAAAAGTATGCTTTATCTAGTTATGCTACTTACAAAAGATCTAGGAATGATGTTAATCTTTAGCTTGATAGTATATAATGTTTTAAGTATATTTATT